TATGTATTTCCACCATACTTAATCATGCACAATATATTTTTTATGTTTTAAAAGACTATTAATAAAATGTATTGCTTTGCGTACATGTTCAGCATTATAATTGTTATTATGAATAATTCGAAAAACATTAATAACAAAGTTTCCGCAATCTTTATTCTGTCATAAGAAGTCACAACACGTGACTAGAATATAAATAAGGATAGCTATAAAAATTAAGAAGGTCAAAACTATTTTTACTCACCATCCTTACTGTTCCAACACGTCGCTGATTAGTAGGATTAGCACAAGAAAGGTGTAGCTTTGCATCAATATTTATCTTTATAACCTAGTTGTATGCAACCCGTTCTTCGTTGTTGTACAAAGCGTGAATTTTTTTCTGCTTTTATGAAGCGATAACAAATATATAATTTATGAACTGAAACGTAATAATTTACATATTTATCATTTAAATCTTATTAAAAACTATTATTTGAAAATAATGCTAAAAATATGTGATAAACTAAAAATAACATTATTTTCTATAATTAAAAAGATTAATTACTGTAATAATATTAATACAATGAATTTGTATATAATAAATATGTATATACATTTTAATCATATTAAACAAATAAATAATACAAAATTTAGTGATATATTTAAATGTGATACTTTACAATAAAATAGAAGTTTGTTTTTGATAATATCTAAGTAAATGCAATAAACGAAGGAAAGATAAAATTTCAGAGAAAATACAAACATTATACATAAAAGTGATTGCTGCAAAACAATTAGAAATATTTCTAAAATAGTCGTAATGATTGAAAAGAATAAATTAAAACGACAAATCTTTTAATTCAAAATTCGTTTCGTTATCTAAATTTATTTATTCCGTTAAATTTCTATATGATCGAGTACTGATGCAATTAATTATAAATGTAATTCAGCGACCTAATTACATTTTGTGGAATTAAAGAAATGACATTTAATTTTTTTATGGGGAAAATTCTTTTTTCGCAATTTTTCTTAAAAGCAAACAGTCGGTCCAGAATATATACGGATGTTGCTATGACCTTTCGCGGCGAAGCACGAAACTACGTCACGACGTGGATATAGGAAGGTGCTGCCCGGTAGGAAGGTGATAGCCACGACGTGATCACGTTAGCAATGACGCCAGAGATCCCAGCGGGTCGATAACAATGAGACCGACAACGACTGCCCGAGAACATTTCTGGCGCCCTGGTTTCTCCTTCCAGAGCCGTCGGCTTTTTTGTTGCCCGCTCGTTTTTGCTCGTGCTTTTACTCTTTGTGTAAATCTTTTTCGACCACCCATCTACTCTCTTCCCTGGCCGCTCCTCCATTTCAATTAGTTAATGCCCGTGAGTAAAAAGGATGCCCCGCGATACGACGTAGTCTTGGATTATTGCGGAAAAGAAATCAATCCGCTGAAAAGCGTCCCGGTGTAAGCGTCGCGAATTTATCTCGCTAATTCGACACACCATAAAGATATGTACGTACGTTTAAATGCAAAATATAATCGCCTGGCGTCGATAATACAGAGGCATAATATTCGTGGATTACTCTTACCATCGGCTAATCGTTCGATACTAGTTTCCATTTAATTTCCAAGGAATGCAGCACCTTCAAGTAATTTGGAGAATTACTTCGATATCAGACATTTTTTTATTCTTTGTATTTCTCGATGATACTTATTAGATTTATTTTAAAAGAATAATGTAATATATATTCTAATGTTGACCATAGCGATAATTGGCTCAAGTCTCAGTACCATTTGTTGTAATTTGTGCTTTTAATAAAACAAATAATTTTGAATACTTTTGATGTAGCATAAGAAATAAATTGATATAATGTTCGAATTAGAACTGCTCTCAATAATATTATTACATTATTTTTTTATTTCAATAAATGCTACAGTTTTGATTTACGATATTAAAATTGTAAAATTTTCATTAGTATTTTTACTTAAAGCAATTTAAATTGACGTTATTTCACGATAAATCTAGATAGTGAAAGTATTGATACTATTATGTATCATGAAATTCCACTTCGCACCAGCCTCGGTGTCTGAACTGTCCTCGGAAAAAATCAGGAAGTCGTATTGCTATGACGGAGATTTGCGCGATCGTCTGGTTAAACGTTTTATTCGATAGTCTATCGGCGTCTCTAAGCAGCGCGGAATTATTCGTGAAAGTAATTGGGACCTCTTGTTATGAAACTCGCGATCGTCTCTCAAGAAAGTAATTCAACGATGGTGTAAGATACTTTCGTAATTCTCAGCTGCATCCCTAATTGGGCCTGCATATGCCAATCGATTCTCTCCTTCAGTCAAGCATCTAGCTCGCGTTAAAATCGTGGGAGCGAATAACGCGCAGATGGTCCGACGTGTAAGATGAATCTTTCGTCGTTCTTGCGATCGATACGAAAGTGCAATCTGCAAAGTTGCGAATCCGAACATGTTCATAGTATGGGTCTCGAATGCTTTTCAATCTTAGAATTTGACCGCGGAACCGGATTTAGAGAACGTATTAACGACAGTCGATAATATGCTGTAAAATGTAATATTATTATGTAGATTCTCTTAAAATATAAAGATATTTAATGAACAATATGAATTAATCAATATAGTTCTCTATTATATTTAACAAATAAAAAAGTTACTATATAATTATACTTCACATAAGGTATTGTTCTATTTTTTAGATTTGAATAACATTATATTTACGTTACATTATATTATAAGTTATATATATTTATTATATTATATTATATTTACAATATAATTTAAAAAATTATTTCAACCTTGGACATTTGCGACTCAGTCGATAACCCAGCTCGACAAATCAATTCGGCTCTAAAATTAAATTTGTAGGAATATAAGAAATAAATGTTGATATGTTAAAAATAAAGGAAAAAAAAAGTAAAAATGTTTTATATAATAGTGCATGTCATTAACAAACACTATTATAAATATTATTCCATAATAGTGTAAGCCAGTAATATTATTAATTGATAGAATGTTGAATAGTATGATTATTCAAATTCGAAGAATACAAATGAATCAGCTAAAGAGGGAAAGAAAGAGAATTAATTCGTGTATGGGCATTTGATTAGTAAAGTTGATATCGTTATTCAAACTTAAAATAATAAGTATAAAAATAATTTAGACATAAAATAAAAAAGAAACATAAAATAATTTATGAGAATAAAGACAATTTAATTGATGAAGAAATTTCTACATAAGAATTTAATTTATTCCTTTTTTAAATAAATCCCCAAAATAAAGTGTGCAAATGTCATGATGCCAAGAGCACGGTTACGTCATTCACTAATTCAAACTTGCATTATGAATTAAACACAAACGGAGTAAAAAGACATGTCTTGATTATTCGCACGAATGGACTTATGTGTGGATTGCAAGACTTAATAAAAAGATAGGCCCGTGTCAATATGATTGAAGGCATCGCCGATGGAAGATTGCGGAGATGTGCAGTTCCTTGCGGAGGATTCCGCCGATACTCGGCTCTTTGACGTTACTCCAGGGAGTTTCGGCCTTGCGACGGAGGGCGATAGTGGCGTAGGGTGCATACCGAAGGGAAGATGAGAATGGGCGAAGGAAAGGAAACTAGGGAAGGGTAGGCGAATAGATGAAGAGGCTCGATGTAGAGACGAAAAGGAGAAAGAGAGGGAGAGAGAAAGTGAGAGGGAGACAAAGAGACAGAGAGTGGGAGATGAGGGCGCATTCCCGGTCAGGAGCGTGGAAAAGGGCGATCGGGGAGGTTATAGGGTGGTAGCGTGGGTGTGCTAGTGGTACTGGTTCTTGTTGAGAGAGAGGGGGAGAGAGAGAGAGAGAGAGAGAGAGAGAGAGAGAATGTAGGAGGGAGTGGGCGAGGAGAAGTCTAGAGGGATGGAAAGAGACGAATGACGAGAAACGAAGGGATCTTCGAAGGGAGTTCGACTGAGAGAGGAA